TTTGTCAGACTTGACTTTTATATTAATAAATAACTGCATTTCTCTGTAGGAGGTCAGCTTCAGGCCTACAGTTGTGTTGCACTTATTTGAGTTGACGTGGTCACAGACTTACAATTAAGTGCTTTGCTAAACGGCCAATAACGAGGTCTCACGGTCTAGTGTTATAGTAATGTTATTTCCTTGTAACGTGTAGTGTGTAGCTGATATGGAGTTCTTCGGAGTCATCCAGTCTTCTACCAGTTTTGAGTACTAGTTATTATTTTGTTCTGAAAAACTAGTCTTGCTCCATGGAATATATAGTTGAGGCCTTGTGCTACATGTTTGCGTTTCCAGTTTATTGGAGCATCTCCAAGAGTTTTCAATAAAGTCTCCCAATCTATGATTTTTGGCAAAAATAGAAGGAAAAAAACTCATTTCTAAGAGTTTTCCCAATACCACCTCCTAATCTTTTGGCACTTAGAAAAGCCACCCAAAGCGAGCCAAGATCCGTGCGTCTACCCACTATCAAAATGGTAGAATTCTTCTAGTGTTTTTAAATAGCAGTAAAACACTACCACTAGTTATAGCACATGTGAATCCTCGCTTTGAGGCATTTGGTAAGGAAAGTTTATACTAAATTTTGAATGTTAAAACATTAGGAGAAGCCCACATCGCTAGGAGAAGTCTAAAATTCTGGTTGTGACCACGCGCGTATCGGTCTCCCAAGGTGAAAGGACGTGAAAAAGAATAAATAGTAGAAAATTATTTCTGATGCAAATGTATAAGAGAGAAAAAAAACATATAAAAGTGGTTGGGATAATTTAGAAATAGTATAGGTTTTCTGATGTAAAATTATCTTCTATATTCTAGGAGTGAATTATTGGAAACTGTTGGACACGGTCTTATCTATTCCTCCAATACTTCTTTGGGAGTTGGAAAAACACCATGTTTTAGGGAACAAATTGCCGGGAGGGGTATTGTAAGCGCAAGGATTTCTATTCTCTTGTGCTTGACAACATGCAAGGAATAGGACTGAATATGTCGTTAACTTTGTTCTGGAATGTTTTCTCCAGCAAACAATACAGTTCAGCATAGTTGAGCCAGTGATGCAAATCAGGTCACTGATGCAAATAATAGCAGTACATATACTGAATATTTCGCTAGTCCTATATATATCATATTTTTTGCTAGCCAATATCTCGCTCATGGAGACTGCTAGCTTGTAGGCTCTCTACAATTCAATTTAAGTCAAATGCCGCGAGCTGTCTTTGGAATCTCGACGATCTGGGTTCCATCCCAATCCATACGATCCGGATCGATCATCAGTAACCATGTCAACTACGGTAAATGTTCCGTGAGCATATTTTCCTGCCAACTGTTAAACAATGAAGCAGTTCTCGTGACCCGTGGCCTACTTCTGCCGCATGCAAATGCAAAAATGCTAAACAAACAAATCGTCGAGCGATCCTATCAGCAAAAACAAACATTACGTGATTTTATATCCTTCCTTGCTTATATTGATAGGAATTGAGATTTTGTACCCAAAATTTTATCCAACAAAAGCTTCAATCCAATCTCCTACACTGATATCCTCTATTTCGGCCCGGGGCCGACCGAGGGCGAGCGCGAGCAGGTGAGAGAGAGAGAGAGAGAGAGAGAGACGAGAGAGAGAGCGCGAACTATTCATGTAGCCAGGTTAAAACTTGTTTCCAGCTATAATCTAGCGACGAATTTAGTTCTATGTCAACCACCTAGAACTCGCTAAGGTCTACCCCGCTGTCCAAAAGAATTATCGGAAACTAAACCATAATCCTAAATAAATCGAACCATAGAACCTAACTAAAAATAACTAATCCTAAAAATCTAACTAAAAAAACTAATCTACAACTAAAACTAACCCTAATCTACAACTAAAACTTACCCTAAAACTAAACTAAATTAACTATGTATACTAAGTAATCTAACGAAACTAAACTAAACTAACTAAAAAAACAAAATCAAACTAAACTAACCCTAATCTACAACTGCAAACTAAATATACTATTTAATCTAACACTAATCAAATATAACTAATCTACAACTAAAACTAACAAAATCTAACTAAGGTAACTAAAAAGGGAAATCTAAATAAAAAAAATGCATACCTGTCGGCCCGGGGCCGGCCGAGGTCGAGCTCGACCAGGTGAGAGAGAGAGCGCGCGCGATGGAGGAAGATGGCTGCGGTCGATATTTTACTCCTGTCGGCCAGCCGTAGGCCGACAAGTCCGTGGGCCGATAAGACTGTGGGTCCGTGGGCCGATAAGACTGTGGGTCCAGGGCCGAGAGAGCTGAAGGCCGACAGGTACCTACACTAATCCAGAAGAGTACTACGCCGCCACTGCAACATCACCAGGGCGCTCTTGCTGTCGTGCTTATTTCAGTTCTGAGGTACAGAATGCCCTGTTTCTCTGTTCTCGTCGATCCGATCCGAAACGAGGAATCTAGAAAAATCTTCAAGAACCACCCTGCTATGCATCGTATCGTATTTAATTTCTATGTGCATCCAGTTGATGCACATGCAAGTTTTTATATATAATATGCTCTTGATCGAAGTTACTAAGGTCGTTTCCAGCCTTGCCATCGCCGGTGCACGCATGCGCGCAGCAGCGAGAGATGCCGCAGATCACGTCGCCAGTCCCAGCCTGTGCCGTTCTGCTCCTCGATCCTCGTCGTGGTCCTCGGGTCGGCAGAGGCGGCCACCACCGCCTCCCGATCCTCCGCCGCCCGACACCGCCGTCGCTACGACTCCATCTTCAGCTTCGGCGACTCCTTCGCCGACACGGCCAACAACCTGGCCGTCTTCGCATGGTAACACGCGCCCGCCCTACGGCTCCACCTTCGGCCGCGCGCAACTGCGACGGCAGGCTCGTCCTCGACTTCGTCGGTACGTACTCACACCGCGCCTCCGTGGCCTGCGCCTGCAACCGCGCACGTTCCGTATCACGACACGTCGCCACGAGCGAGCTCGTCATCCGTCATCGTCGTCGATTTTTTGTTTCATTCGAGTGCATGCATGCATGCACCTGAGAGCCTGGAGCAGCCGGCGTTCGTGCCGCCTTACCTAGGCCCGCCGTTCGCCGCCTCCCCTTCTCCGGCGGGCGACGACGTCGTCATCAGTCGCTCTGGACGTGGCACCGGCACGCCCGCACCGTCTACGCCGATTTCTTCCGCCTCGTCATGGCGATGGTGGAGTCCGCCCACCAGTTCGGTCAGTGACTCCGTGTATCTCCTTTCTCATATCACATTGATGGATCGATCTCATGGTTGAAGATGACCGACTGACCGATCTGCTCTACTTTGTGAAGAAATGCCTGCCTGACTGATGGTTGACTGCATGCTTGCAGGGTTCAGAGAGGACGTTCTGGCAGTCTGCTGCGGCAACCGCACCGTCCTCTGCGGCGACCCAGGCGCAGCCACGTGCGCCGACCCGTCGGCTTCCCTCTACTGGGACGGCGCCCACTTCACAGAGGCGGCGAACCGATACATCGCCGGCGGCTGGCTGGCCACAGCATCAAGCGCTCGGATGCATGGGCTTGGGCTGGTGGCGGCACTGGGGAATTAGGGGCTACAAAAGTCGAGCCAAAATAATTCTAGCGTATTATATTTCTTCGACAACTCTGGCAGCTTTGACCTATTTCATCAGCTTTTCATAACAGATACTTGTCCAACACCTCCCTCTTGGGGGACGTTCACATTATAGGTGAAGCAGTATTTTCTAAAAAAATATCACTAGCAGTTACAAATAGTAGAAGGATTCACAGAAACAAAACAGATTTTAACTGCTACTTTAAGGTTCTGTTCAATCTATGACTGTTTTCTATCCAATAGGATCCCCTTTGTTAGCAACGCACAAGCTAAACTTGACTGCCATCTCTTGCCTGTATAATTTCTGGACCCCCTATTTTTTGCATTTGGTGGCCCACTCCTGATAAGCATAATTCGAACTAACAGCCAAATAATCAGAATTTGTTTAGTATTACTACTAATGTTTTGGGACAAAAAGTATCCTTTAATTTGCAAAAGGATAATGATAATATACATGTAAACCTTGCTTCCCAACACAGAAGAGGTTTACATGGCATATTCACTTCTCTAAATTTCCAAATATTTTCAAGAGGTTTATTCCCAAACTAGCCATACCCTATACCCAAATTTAGCAGCAAAAAAATTGATTAAGGTTCTTATTGCAATACTGCACACAAATTTATTACATAGCAGATCAGTATTGGTGGATTGGTCGAAGATAATTCTGACAGTCACCTTTGTCACTAACAGGTTTGTCCCTGTGGCAGGAAGCTCAGACAGTGCTGATCCTTTAGAGAACTTTGATCTATTTTTTCTTGATCCCTAAACAAAGACTAGGGTACATTTATATCATCTAGGTAAATTAAGAAAATAGGAAATAGGCAACAGACTAGGAGTCTAGGACTCCAACTTTTCCTAACACTAACCAACTAGATAACATCACTAAACTAACATCTCTCTTTCCACAACACATTAGCTAAGAATTCAATGAATTCCTCACCACACCAATATACCGTCCTTGTTGCCTCATTCCAGCTTTTGTGCAAGTTTAACAAAGAAATCTTGCATAGTTTTACTTCAGAGTTCAAAAGGTAATTTTATCACATATAGCATGCCATGTCCCTTTATTAAATTAGTTACTCCACCTTGAACTAAGCTTCAAACCACTGAGTCTGGATAGGGCTATCAAAACATGATCAGGACACCTATATCAAACATTAAATTATAAGCCAGCGCATGATAATTTGAAGCATTCTAGGACTCCCAGATGAGAGTAAGACGCCTAAACCGAATTTACTCTTGCTGCAAGCTGAACGATCAAGTACAAGAATTTGAAAAATATCTTGCTACCTTTTAAGATCATTTACAGGGCAGAAACAAAAGAGATTCTACCTATATACAGTGGTAAACAATTGGTGTATAGCCATAAGCACATGGTATCTCGAGAAAGAGCATATTTACCTGAAAGGATATACCTTCATTGCCCTGCTCATAGACACTTTACGCACAGCAACCCGGTGGTGCCTTCTTCTGAAACAAGGCTCATGTTCTTTGGTCACAGATGACGTGGCCCTTTCATTTTCCCCTTTGTTGAGAAAATGGACATTGGAAGCTGGCCTCTTATTGCCTTCATTCATGGACTCAACATAATGTGGAACATCTGTTCTTTTGCAGCTGCTTTTACCTGTGCACCCAGCTTTCTGAGGTTCCTCCTTGTCACCTATCTGTGTCATCACTTCTTTGTCTGAAGACTTATCTTTTCCCATGGACTCAGCACAAGGTGGAATAGCTGGTCTATTGTTGATGCTTCCTTCACTGCACACACCAGATGTCCATTGTTCCTTCTGGCCACCAGAGGGCTTTTCCAATAAACCACGTGAGGAATCTTCCAAATTATACAGCAAGGGGGCACTGTCCAATTTTGCTTGCTCAATCATACTGCTCTTTTTCTCAGACACAAACTTAGGTGTGGGGCTAACAAAATGGGAAAGATTGTCATCACAGTTCACATCGATGTTTCTGTCAGCTTCATCTTCCTCCCTAAACCGTTTCTTCCCTCTTGGCTCCATGATGATGTCTTTTTGTTGATCCCCAGCACGATCATTCTCTTTGTCTGCTGCTACACCAAGATCTGAACTTTCTTGGGGCATGGTAGTTCTACCTTCACTGTGACCTGAGGCACGCTCAGCGTCATCATGAAATTTGTCCTGTTGGTCCATTGGTAGAGTGTCACTACCTCCTGCTGCTAAATCAGAATCTGAACCTTCCTGAGGCATGGTAATTCCATCTTCAAGGTGACCAGAAGCATGCTCAGCACATCCCTGAAGTTTGTCCTCCTGGTTTGGCAGTGGGCTGTTATTGGTGCCTGTTGCTGAATCAAAATGTGAACTTTCTTGAGGCATGGTGATTCCATCTTCGAGCTGAACAGAAGCATGCTCAGCACATCCCTGAAGTTTGTCCTCCTGGTTTGGCAATGGGCTGTTATTGGTGCCTGTTGCTAAATCAAAATGTGAACTTTCTTGAAGCATGGTGATTCCATCTTCGAGCTGAACAGAGGCATGCTCAGCACATCCCTGAAGTTCGTCCTCCTGGTTTTGCTGTGGGGTGTTATTGGTGCCTGTGGCTAAACCAAAATGTGAACTTTCTTGAGGCATGGTGGTTCCATCTTCCAGCTGAACAGAGGCAGGCTCAACACATCCCTGAAGTTTGTCCTCTTGGTTTGTCAGTGAGGTCTCACTGTCACCTGCGGCTAAATCACAATGTGAACTTTCTTGAGACATGGCAATTCCATCTTCGAGCTGACGAGAGACATGCTCAAGACATTCCTGAGGTTTGTCCTCCTGGTTTGCCAGTGGGGTTCCAGTGCCACTGTCGCCTATGGCTAAATCAATATCTGAACTTTTTTGAGGCATAGCAATTCCATCTTCGTGCTGACATGAAGCAAGCTCAACAACTTTATCCTGCTCGTTCTTCAGCTGTCGGGTGTCACTGACGCCATTGCCCGTGGCATGATTGCCACCTTCTGGGGCCTCTGCAGGTGGTAACATGTACTGCGACGAGTCCTCAGCGACGACTGGATGGCCAGCATTTGGTTCAGCATCAGCAGTTCCACACTTGGCATCCTTGCAAGCAGGTGGATGAGGACGAAGCTCGTGAGCCTCAACCAGGAGGCGCCTTGGCCCCTTGACCCACTCGAAAGCTGCTTCCACGACCATGGAATCAGTGAGCTGAAACCAGGAACCATCGAGCTCAATCTGCGAAATGAAACAGTGCCAATGGATTGAAGCCAAAAGAAACGAAATTTTCCACAACGGAGTTCGCCCAAATTTCATCAACAAGCCAACCCAAGCGAAATTGGCGGCTAAAGATTAATCCTTTGACACCTGCATTGTCATTCCGACACCATACCTGCAAGGAAGTGACGACAATCGGCCCGGTGCGGGGGAAACACGCGGCGTGCTCCGCGCTCACTTGGCCTGCGTGTTCAATGTGTTCAGTTCGTGCTTTTTTTTTTCCAGCGATGCCGCACAAATTAGGAGGAATGCAGAGGTAAAGGGATCGATTTGCAACGGAATCGCCATAAACAAGAAGCAAGGGAAAAAAAGGCGGATTTTTTTCTCTGGCTGGGAGAGTGAGGAGAAAGGGGAGGAAGATGGAGAGACACGCACGCTTGAGGTCGGCGACGGTGGTGGCGCGGGCGGGGAAGGAGACGACGAGGCGGGTGCCAAGGCTCGTCTCCAGGAAGACCGTCGCGGTCTCGGCGGTGGCCATCGCCGACGCGGACACGAGGCAGGGGTCGATTTCCCCTGCGCGGACTCGAATAGCCGCTTCCCTGGTCGGCGGAGGCGGCGCGCGGCGGAGAAAATCCCACTAGCAAAGCCAAGGGGTTCGCTGTTTGCAGGTGTCCGTCCTTGGTTTTCATTTTTTTTTTGAGAATTCATTTCATTTCTGTCTTTCTGATAACGAGGATTTGTATTAGCTGCTCCTCTGTACTAAAATATAAGATATTTAAATATTTAATAAAAATTATTGGAGATTATAAAATATTCTAGTAGAATTAACTTAATTAAAATATCAATCACCTATATAACTGCCATATAAGTGTCAACCACTAAAGTTAAAATATAGTAAACACAAGATCTCTTTATAGTTAAGTGAGGACTATATGAGTTATTTGATTTATCTAATAATTTGTCGTAGAATTTCTAGATACCGACCTCTATTATTTTTTGAATTTTCAGTTAATGACCCAACAATGAAGGATTATCACTGCTCGTTAGGAATCGTCAATGATAGGCCGATAGTGATTACCAGTTCTGTAGCGGTAAGAAGAGACATAGCCTTTAAGCAACGTCTGGAACCACACATTTACCCTTCATTGACAGCTCGTTAGAAACCGATAGTGATAGACAGGCAGTGATTACCAGCTATGTAGTAGTAAGAAGAGACATAGCCTTTAAGGACCCACACATTTACCCCTGGTACCCTTGCAGCCTTGTTGACTGATGCCTTGACCTTTTGCCTGTTGCATTGGGTCGCAAAAGGTGCACCTTTCTTGTGGATTTTCCATATAATACTAATCCTACTCTCACTTGTACTAATTGTGTGCCTTTGAAATTCTTTAATTAATTACTAGAGTTAGGGCCTTGGATTGGCTAGAGCTAATTTTTAGCCAGTTAAAATTTAGTTAATAATTAACTAGCCCAAATTAGCCCAATTGTTGTTCGGATATAAGAGCTAATAAATAGCTCCAATTATACCAAGAGTCATTTTTGCCCCTGTGCTACTACTACAACTGCTCTGTAAATGCACGCGCCGTGCTGCTGCTCGCTGCGTCCTGTCCCAGCGCCGAGAGAAGAGAACTCTTCTGTGCTTGTTCTTCTCCGTGTGTGTGAGGCCGGAGCGCCGGGAGAGAGATGCCACGAACGGTGACCACACCACCGTGGGCTGCTGCTCCGAAGAGAAGGGCGCTCTTCGTGTGCGGGACGTTCAGCTGCGCGCTATCCTTCCTGGTCATCGCCGCGCTGCTGGCGCTGCGTTGCACCTCCACCACCGCCTGCGACGTTCTAGCTCCAATTGTTGTATTCTTTTTGCTTTCAACGTATGGTTTCATGACTTTTTTTCCTCTCTGTTGAGTTGACAGCTTACGGATACCGGGTTTGGTTCCAAAGAGCGCTGGTGCGATGGGGTCGGGACCTGCCATCCAGCGCCCTCTTGAGGTCACTCTAACACCAGGGGAGGCGGTGATGGCGCTAGCATGGCCGCTACAGCAGCAGATCTCACCACAGCAACTTCCGCAGCAGCAGCTCCCGGTGGCATCAGAAGAGAGAGCCTCGCATCCGCTGCCGGTGACGGAGGTGGATAAGACCCTGGTGGAGAATGCATTGGCGACGCTGGAGTCCCTGCCCGGGCGGGAGGGAGCCGGTTACCCCATCGATCGACCAGGCCAGCCAAACGTTGGCTAGCCAAGGCAGGCCAACTGGGCTAGGCGGACTGAGCCTGACCTACCAAGCCGCCGCAGGGCTTAATGCAGATATTGGCTTCACGCGAAGTTTGATATTAACTGTTCAATAATCATAAGCCAATAATTGAATGGCATCAAGCACCTCTCTTATCGACTACCGTAGCAAAGTCCAACAATAAAAACTTCAATACCAAATTTTGATCCATTTCCAATACTTAATACAACATTCTTAAGAGTCCACGAATAAGTAAAACTGCAGTACACAGCAACTGTGTGTGCGTGTGTTTCATTCAGATTCAGTTCTGAAGCAGTACAAAGAAAAAAAAAGGCTCACATTGGACTAACACGAGACTTCAGACAAGTAAAAATCTGCAGAGGTAGAATCCTCCATGCCGACATAGTTTTGCAGTGACCTGGGAACAGGAGGGACTTGAACATCCATGACACCTTCCAGCATGTGAACAACCGGCCCCATCATCGGCCTGTGATCTTCAGCATCCTGAATGCACCAGCATGCAACTCTACAGGCTCTCTCTAGCTGCTCTGAATCAGCATTGCCCTCCAGATCACTATCCAGCAGGCACATGACGTCTCCTTCATTCACCTTAACTGCGACATAGATTGGAAAATAAGTAAACATCCCCTCCTTAATTTTCTCCGAATTCCTTCGCCCTGATATGATTTCTAGGAGAATCATTCCATAGCTATAGACGTCAGCCTTATGTGTTATTGGTACCCCTGAGATCCACTCCGGTGCAAGGTATCCGATGGTCCCTCGCATTTGTTGTCAGTACCCTGCTGAAGTCTCGACCAAGAAGCTTTGCCATGCCAAAATCTGCAATCTTAGGACAGAACTCTGCATCAAGAAGCACGTTATCTGGCTTTATGTCACAGTGTACAATACAATCCTTGCATCCCTCGTGAAGATAAGCCAGGCCTCGTGCAATTCCAAGTGCGATCGAGTACCGCAGCTCCCAGATTAACTTAGACGAACTCTTGGAAAACAGGTGGTTGCTCAAAGAACCATTCGCCATATATTCATACACAAGGAGCCTTCCACTATCTTCAGCGCAAAACCCAAGTAGACGGACAATATTGATGTGCTGAATCATACCTATGGTCTGCACCTCTGCTCGAAATTGCTTGTCTTCCTGTCTGAGGCCTTTTAGCTTCTTGATAGCCACAACAGTGCAGCTTGGCAACATCCCTTTGAAAACGCAGCCGAAACCTCCTTCTCCAAGTTTTTCAGAGAATTTTTTGGTTGAGTTATTTATTTGTACAAAAGAGAATACCATAAGACTTCCACTGCCACCCACTGTTCTAGCCTTAAAAAGCTTTCGCCTGCATATCAACAAAAGAATCAGACTAATAACAATGACGGCTATCACACCGATCATCGATTCAAGAACCACTCTTTTCCAAGGAACAGTTCTTTTTTCGAAGAATCATTACAACAACAACAACAACAACAACAAAGCATTTAAGTCCAAACAAATTGAGGTAGGCTAGAGTTGAAACCCAGCAGAAGCAATCAAGGTTCAGGCACGTGAATAGCTGTCTTCCAAGCACTCCTATCTAAGGCTAAGTTTTTAGATATATTCCATCTTTTCAAGTCTCATTTTATTGCCTCTACCCAAGTCAACTTCGGTTTTCCTCTGCCTCTCTTCCCGTTACTATCTTGGCTTAGGATTCCACTACGCACCGGTGTCTCTGGAGGTCTCCATTGGACATGTCCAAACCATCTCAACCGGTGTTGGACAAGCTTTTCTTCAATTGGTGCTACCCCTAATCTATCACGTATATCATCGTTCCGAACTCGATCCCTTCTTGTATGCCCACAAATCCAACGCAACATACGTATTTCCGCGACACTTATCTGTTGAACATGTCGTCTTTTCGTAGGCCAACATTCTGCACCATACAACATAGCAGGTCTAATCGTCGTCGTATAAAACTTGTCTTTTAGCTTCTGTGGTACCCTTTTGTCACATAGGACACCAGATGCATGCCGCCACTTCATCCACCCTGCTTTGATTATATGGCTAACATCTTCATCAATATCCCCGTCTCTCTGTAGCATTGATCATAAATATCGAAATGTATCCTTTCTAGGCACTACTTAACCTCCCAAACTAATATCTTCCTTATCCCGAGTAGTAGTGCCGAAATCACATCTCATATACTCAGTTTTAGTTCTACTGAGTCTAAAACCTTTGTACTCCAAAGTCTCCCGCCATAACTCCAGTTTCTGATTCACTCCTGTCCGACTTTCATCAACTAGCACTACATTGTCCGCGAAAAACATACACCAAGGGATGTCCCCTTGTATGTCCCTTGTGACTTCATCCATCACTAAGACAAACAAATAAGGGCTCAAAGCTGACTTTTGATGTAGTCCTATCACAATCGGGAAGTCATCCGTGTCTCCATCACTTGTTCGAACTCTAGTCACAACATTGTTGTACATGTCCTTAATGAGCCCAACGTACTTCGTTGGGACTTTATGTTTATCCAAAGCCCACCACATAACATTCCTTGGTATTTTATCATAAGCCTTCTCCAAGTCAATAAAAACCATGTGTATGTTCTTCTTCTTCTCCCTATACCGCTCCATAACTTGTTTTATTAAGAAAAATGGCTTCCATGGTTGACATTCCGGCCATGAAACCAAATTGGTTCATAGAGACCCGCTGTAGAATCGACAGGAAGATAAAGAAGGCCTAGAGGGGGGTGAATAGGCCTGTAAAAATTCAACTCAAAACTCTGTTAGAACAGAGGACGGCACTGCCGACCTTACAGGGCGGCACTGCCACTCTACGAAAAATAATCTAACACAGTTGAGATTTAACAGATATGAACCTGACCAAACTAGCTGCTTAATCCTGCAATATAAAGCCAAGATCCAGTTCCAAGACTGGATACCACAGAATCTTCACACAACAGTGAATCGAGCAAATAAACCCTAGCAACACCTAGCAATACAGTAAACAGCAAGTATAGTAAAGATGAAGCACGCAAGACACAAGATTTATTCCGTGGTTCAGCTCACCACTAAGGTTTGCCTAAGTCCACGTTGTTGAGGAAGCCACAAAAGGCTTGAGCTTGCCACTAAGGCTTGCCTTATCCTCGTTCTCAAATCAAGAGAGTGAATTCTTTAAGTGAGGGGTGATTTCTTAGCTTTTGAATGAGGTTACAAACCTCCCAATGCTGCCACACGAGTTGACAAGCACAAGGGCGACGCCTAGCCGGCTAGGAGCAAGCTCCAAGAGTAACAAACCCTAGAACCACCGGTCAAACGTGAACCAAA